TCTTGCCACTGCTCTTGCCTCTGTTTTCTCTATGTCTCATGAAAATTCAGACTCTACAGAGTTCAAGATGAGGCTGTTTAACAAACTGAAGGTTTTCAAAGGCCTTCCTGGCCATGGATATAATCTGCTCCTTGAGCAGGAGATGAGAATCAAGGAAGACACCCCCCCCACTTCATAGATACAGTGCAATGACACGTGAGATCAAATAGGGAATTTCCCAATACAGAGAAGACCAATAATTCACAACTGCTTGATTTGTGTCAAGAAACCTTAGGATATATTTTAGTTTTTCTTTCTCTCTTTTTCTCTGTGATCACTTCTGTAGTCCTGGTGATTATCTATAAACATCATGACACACCGATTTTGAAGGCCAACAACCGAGATCTCACCTACATCCTCCTGGTCTCCCTCATGCTCTGCTTCCTTTGCTCCTTTCTTTTCATTGGTCAACCTGGGAAGGTCACTTGTCTCTTCCGAAAAACTGACTTTGCCATTCTGTTTTCTCTTGCAGTTTCCTCTGTGTTGGCAAAAACTATCATGGTAGTTCTGGCCTTCATGGCCACCAAGCCAGGGAACAAGTCAATGAAACTCTTAGGAAAACCATTTTCTAACTCCATTGTCTTAGTCTGTCCTATGATCCAAGCAATTTTTGTGTCACCTGGCTCATAATCTCTCCCCCATTTCCCAACTTGGACTTCCACTCCTTGGTAGGAGAGACCATCTTGGAATGTAATGAAGGTTCAGCTTCAATGTTTTATATTGTCCTTGCATACTTGAGTTTCCAGGCCCTTGTGAGTTTCACAGTGGCCATTATGGCAAGGAAATTGCCTGATAGCTTTAATGAAGCAAAGTTCATAACTTTCAGCATGCTGATCTTTTGCAATGTTTGGATCAGCTTCGTCCTCACCTCCTCCCATGGTGGCTGTGGAGATCATCTCCATCTTGGCCTCTGGGGCTGGTCTTTTGGTTTGCATCTTTTTCCCAAAGGCTTCATTATCATTCTGAGGCCCCATGTTAACTGTAGAGAAAATATGATAAGGAACAAAAGTGGGACATATTTAAATTTATTTTTGAGGCACATTTAGTATCCTATGACTTTTCTATAACATGCTAACCATGAAACAGGAACATGTCTATCAAATAATGACTTATCAACTGCTATAACTGGTTACAAAAGAGTTGATTGCTTGAGGTGCCCAGATATAGAGATTGAATGAAGTAAATAAATAAATAAACCTGCTATCAAAAGTAATAATGCAGGCATTTTCATCCCATGCCTTCCAGTTGTCTGCATTGAGGCCCAGTTCCCTATGTAGAAAGAAAGTTTTCTGTTTAAGATAAGTTCATTATTTCAAAAAGTATATTTTTCAATTTTATTCCTTTTAATTAGCTATTCGAGCTTTTTAAAAAGTTAGGTGCCATATCAATGTGTATGTGTGTATATATTTGTTTCCATAGTCTTCTGACTCTTTGTATAATTCCATGCTTGTATTCCTTTTTTTATAGTAGAGATTAAATTTTAACAAAGCCAAGTTCATTACTTTCAGCATGCTGGTCTCTACAGTGTTTGGATCACCTTCCTCCTCACCTATATGAGTACCAAAGGGAAGTCCGTGGTGGCCATGGAGATCTTCTGCTATGACGTCCAGGGAGGCTAAACCAAGCAGCGGGCCTCTCCCAGCCACTTTCACGTCTTCTCAGAATGCCGAGAACCTTCGCGCTCTCCTCGGCTCCTCACAACTGCAATAGACATGCAGAAGCAGTGGGGGCTGTTGGGCTGGAAACCCAAGCCCCATTAGCTCCAAAAGCTGCTTCTTGATGAAGAAGCCTAAGCAAAGGAGGGTTGGGCGGAGGAAAAGGGAAACCCTAGCGAGGGCTGCTGGAGCTGCATTGCCCCACTGGGTTCAGGGACTTCTGCCCCTCCTGCTGTGCTTTGCAGTCACTGCAGCCCCGCACAGACCTCTTCAGGGTGCTGGACAACCTGGTTCTGGGGGTTTCCCCCCCCCCCAAAAGACCAACTGTGCTGCCAAGGAGGGGCACCAGATGGGATGCTGTTGGCTCTGGGAGCCAGGCTGCGTGCGGAGGAGCTGACGCCCGGGGCACCCTGAAGCAGCGCCAGTAAGCTTGTCCCACAAGAAGAGCCCCAAGGGCAAGGGGGGCAGCCCTGTGCCATCCTCCTCCCTGCCCGCTGCCCAGCAACGCACCACTGCCAACTCTGCGCTCTCCATCTGCCTCACGAAAGGAGATAGCCTAGCTGAGGCAAATGAGCCTGCCCTGCAGCCTCCTTCATTCCTTCCTTCCCTCAGCGCCCACCAAAGCGTTCCCAAAGCGTTCTCATATCCCAGATTAGGAGATCCCAGGTGATTGCAGACAGAATGAAGAAGGAGAAGAGAAATAAATTCCCCCTTGCAATCTCTTGGATGTAACTCTAAGCTATTGTCCATGTGATTGACTTCATTGCCCATTGGGATGAGTGGATTCCAAAATGAATCTGTTCATCCATTTAGACCCTGGACAGATGAGATTTATCCCTAAGCAGACATAGTTTTCATTGGGTTAAAACAATCCCATTAGTTGTATCAAGGGGACTTTTGACCATGGGGTTAATTAATCAGTTTTCTGTCCCAATTTAAAAATGCAGAGAAGCCAAGTGGAAATGAAGCCATTGTGGCTCTTCTTTTCCACCTCCACCCCACAACTATATGAGCATATGACAAAATGAGCAA